TATGTATACCTCATGAATTCTTCCCATAAAAAAAGAAACAATATATATGAGTTGAATGGGCATTCTAATTCCTGATAATTCGTAGGGAAAATTAAATCTCACATTGTTTAACCATGGAGTACATAATGGGTTAATAAGAAAAAAATTACTACTATGTTACCATTTTGGGATGAAATCCCAATTTACAACAAGTGATAATAAGCCCCTGTTTGACAATCATTAAAATAACTCTTTTTTCTCAAACTTATTTTCAACCATGCATTCTCACAATAAAATATTTTTCACATAAATTCAAAACTTTTTTTCTACTTTTTAACCATACATTTCCAAAAAAATCACTTTTCCAAAACTCATTTAAAAAAAAAAAAAACCCTTTTAATGGTTGTTAAGCAGGGGTTAAAACTAGGCTATAAACTTTCGATGTACAAGATGAATTCCTCAATTGCATTTGCACGAAGGTGTATACCTTAGTTCATAATGATAACGTAAAAAAGTTAATGGTTGAATTTCAAAGGCGGTTGTGACCTCGTAATGTGGTCCCTAACAATTGAGGCAATGGAAAAGTTGAGTCTTAATATATCATGTGATCCTTCTTGATTTGAAGAAGACGATAGATAGATTATTGTTTGGGCTGAGACGATGTGGTACTTTGTTCGAGATATGTCTTTGTTGAAAAGTGAACTATATCTTTCATTAACTAAACAGGTTAGTTAATAAATTTATGAAAAAATGTACTACTTCAAATAATATAGTAAATATGTTAACGAAACCCAACAAATACAATGATTCATAAGTAAAAGAGAGTGATTGTAGTGACAATCCGAATCTTTTAAATGTGTGCAAATTTTACCCTAAACTTTCAATTGTATGCAGTGCTGGTTCCAAACCTTTCAAACCGGTGTGGTTACAGGACCTCTGAGTAATTTTGTTTCAAAAATTCTTTATTTAACCGAAAGTCAGTTTTGATCATAATTTGACCAATTTTAAAAGGTTAGAACGGTCATTGAAAGTTTTATTAATTAGAAGGATAATTTGCACCTTAAGTTTCAAACCTTTCAAAATGTGTGGAGGATGTCCCAAAACTTGGATAAATGTTTTCCAAAGGGTCATCTAACAATTTTCATTATAAAATTTATCAGTTGACGGAAATATTTATGTTTTCCAATCTACACAACCACCCAAACCCAACGTCTAACCCCTAACCAATCCATTGGTAAGTAGAGGAGCCTTCGCCATTTTCGCTACTGTTGGTGCTAAAGAGAATTTAGTTTTCTTTATTTCTTTCTTTCTAGTTTTTTAAAGGTTCTTATTGAGAAGAAATGGAGTTGATGGAAATTGGGAAAATTAGATTGGCGGAGGTGGAGGAAATGAGGCGGCAACGGTGGTTGATGCTGTTGTGAGGTTGAGATTGACCAAATATATTCATTTTCCCTTATCTACCAACATCAACCGTAACCTATAAACATTACATGGAACAAGCCTCGAAATAGCAACCATTGTCTCATTTCCTCCACCTTCGTCGACCACATTTTCCCATCCACATGCCCATTAACTTCATTTCCTTCTAACATGAGCTTTTAAAGAACCGGGAAGAAATAAACAAAGATAAATAACTTTTTTACAAAATAACAGTAACAATAGTGGTGGAGGCTCTCCCACCTACCAACAGGTAGGCTTGGGTGGATGAGGGGTTGGGCGCTAGGGTTGGGCGATGCAATTGTGTATCAAGGAAGACGAATATTTAGTTGAGTGACAAATTTTTGGATGAAAATATTAGGCGTCCTTCTGGCAAACATTCGTTAAAGGTTTGGGACACCCTGCATATTTGAAAGATTTGGAATTACCCTTTATTATTTAATAAAATGTTAAAATATCATTTTGTCCTTTTTAAAATTGGCCAAATTATGATCAAACAATGACTTTTAGTCAACTAATAGATTTTTGGTCAAATATCCTTTCCCCGCACCAATTTGAAATGTTTGAGACCATCGCTTTTACAATTCAAAGATTAGGGTAAAATCTACATTTTAAAATATTTGGGATCGCTTCTGACCTAGAGCATTAATTGAAGTAAAATAGAAAGTGAAATTCTTCCTTTAACGAAAAGAAAGTATAGAGTTAATTGTCTCAATGGTCACTAAATTTATGTCTATGCTTTCGAGTGCTCATTTAAGTTTGAGACGTCGAGTTTTAACACTAAACTTGTCAAACTGTTGGATGATACTCACTGCCTTAACATCCGTTCCAATTCTTGAACGGAATTAGTGATGTGGCTAACAAAATGTATATGTGGCACCCTGTCACGCTGTTAACAAATGTCTCGTCTTCAATTGCTCACTAAACTATAAAAAAAATCTTCAATCCCTCACTAAACTTTGAAAATGTCTTCGATTGCTCACTAAACTTTGGAAAATGTCTTCGATTGCTCATTGAATTTTAAAGTGATAGAATTTTGGCCACTCAACTTATAAAAATGACATCGACATGTTGTTCATTATAAAATATGTACCACAATCATATGGATCTCTTAAAAGTAATAAAATGGATAAGCAAGTTCAAATTGTCGATCTCACGAAAAATGATTACTCAATTATATAATAGTTAAATTTAATTTTAACATATTTTTGTAGAATTTTAAGCTATTTTCATCATTTGAAAAATTCGAATTTATTGTGTATTTCATTATTAAAATTAAATTAATGATCTTTGCAACGAAACATACAATAAGTTTAATCAAATAGATTTTACAATGAAGCACACAATAAGTTTAATTAAAAATTGGATTTTAATAAATTTAATTTCATGGATTTTTACAATGAAACAAACAATAAATTTGAATTTTTAAAATGATGAAAATAACTTAAAATTCTACAAAGTATTTTAAAATTAAATTTAAATATTGTGCAATTGAGTAATCATTTTTAGTGGAATTGAGAATCCAAACTTGGTTGTCTACTTTATTATTTTTATGCGACCTGTGGGATTGTGGCACATATTTTTTAATGAACAATAGGTCGATGTCATTTTTATATGTTTAGTGGCCAAAATTTGACTACCTTAAAGAGCAATTGAAGACGTTTTTAAAAATTTCGTGAGCAATAAAAGACGTTTTCAAAGTTTAGCGAACAATTGTAGACGTGACAATTTGCTAACGGCGTGACGTGCGCTACATGTGCATTCCGTTATCAATGTCACTAATTTTGTTAAAAATTTGGGAACATCCAACGTTTTGATAAATTTAGTGGCCAAAACTTGACATCTTAAACTTCAGTAAGTAATCGAAGATATAGATATAAGTTCAGTGACCATTGATACAATTAACTCGAAAGCAATCCACTTTTACTCCTTACAAACCCCACATATGGGTTTTACTTTAGAATCACATGCTCGAGCCGCCACACAACAGAAAATTGCATCCAAAATTGGATATGCGAGAACTATTCTCTTGGAGAAATTCTCACTATTTCATCCTTAGCGTCAAGGTATCGGTTCTCTCCACTGCACCTTCTCTAGGAATATTTTCCAACTTTTCTTTTTCTATGATTTTTAGATACTTTTAAATTATTGTGTCAAATCATAGGACTTTCATTAAATTGTTCGATGGAAAAAAAATTATTTGGAAAAATATTGACATATCTCACTATTAAATTGTGTGCCGACACCAACTTAATTAGCTTATTCCTCCTTTTGTGAATGCACTATATGGGCAGGTAATGTGATAATATTACCATCCCTATTTAAAATTTGCTCCTTGTGTCGCAGGTCTGCCTTGAGTCAATTTTGCACAAATTGAAAGTAACTTATATTTGAATTGTTTGTAAAATTAAAAATCTTAATTTTAAAATGTAACTTATATTTGAATTGTTTAATTTACATGAATGTAGGGGTTGAATTTTACACTATAAAAGGAAAGGATATTTAAGTGGAAAACACAACTTGAAAAAAATACTCTCTATTCTTATTATACTATATTCATATTATTTTGACAATTCAATAAAGCTCGTTTTTTACCTCCTTGTGATCATACCCGTAGAAGGAGATCAATTGTGATCTATAAAAAAAATTATTTTGGAGTCGTGTATTGTTGAATGTATCCATACGAAAGGGAGATCACACGACTTT